CAAACCACTTTCAAATAATAGTACTAAATGAGGGCTATGGAACTCAGCCCTTGAAATTGTTCTTAAAAGCATTTAACATTTTAAAATGATTTTTTTGGTTAAAAATACCAGTTTTTCTTCAATAGCTTTTAGGGCATTTGACCCATTTGCTCCAAACCACTTTTAAATAATAGTACTAAATGAGGGCTATGGAACTCAGCCCTTGAAATTGTTCTTAAAAGCATTTAACATTTTAAAATGATTTTTTTGGTTAAAAATACCAGTTTTTCTTCAATAGCTTTTAGGGCATTTGACCCATTTGCTCCAAACCACTTTTAAATAATAGTACTAAATGAGGGCTATGGGGCTCAGCCCTTGAAATTGTTCTTAAAAGCATTTAACATTTTAAAATGATTTTTTTGGTTAAAAATACCAGTTTTTCTTCAATAGCTTTTAGGGCATTTGACCCATTTACTCCAAACCACTTTCAAATAATAGTACTAAATGAGGGCTATGGAACTCAGCCCTTGAAATTGTTCTTAAAAGCATTTAACATTTTAAAATGATTTTTTTTGGTTAAAAATACCAGTTTTTCTTCAATAGCTTTTAGGGCATTTGACCCATTTGCTCCAAACCACTTTTAAATAATAGTACTAAATGAGGGCTATGGGGCTCAGCCCTTGAAATTGTTCTGAAAAGCTTTTTAAATCATATTTTGGTTAAAAATACCAGTTTTTCTTCAATAGCTTTTAGGGCATTTGACCCATTTGCTCCAAACCACTTTTAAATAATAGTAGTAAATGGGGGCTATGGGGCTCAGCCCTTGAAATTGTTATTAAAAGCTTTTTAAATTATTTTTTGGTTAAAAATACCAGTTTTTCTTCAATAGCTTTTAGGGCATTTGACCCATTTACTCCAAACCACTTTCAAATAATAGTACTAAATGAGGGCTATGGGGCTCAGCCCTTGAAATTGTTCTTAAAAGCATTTAACATTTAAAATGATTTTTTTGGTTAAAAATACCAGTTTTTCTTCAATAGCTTTTTAGGGCATTTTGACCCATTTACTCCAAACCACTTTCAAATAATAGTACTAAATGAGGGCTATGGAACTCAGCCCTTGAAATTGTTCTTAAAAGCATTTAACATTTTAAAATGATTTTTTTGGTTAAAAATACCAGTTTTTCTTCAATAGCTTTTAGGGCATTTGACCCATTTGCTCCAAACCACTTTTAAATAATAGTACTAAATGAGGGCTATGGGGCTCAGCCCTTGAAATTGTTCTTAAAAGCATTTAACATTTTAAAATGATTTTTTTGGTTAAAAATACCAGTTTTTCTTCAATAGCTTTTAGGGCATTTGACCCATTTACTCCAAACCACTTTTAAGTAATAGTAATAAATGAGGGCTATGGGGCTCAGCCCTTGAAATTGTTCTGAAAAGCTTTTTAAATCATACTTTGGTTAAAAATACCAGTTTTTCTTCAATAGCTTTTAGGGCATTTGACCCATTTGCTCCAAACCACTTTTAAATAATAGTAGTAAATGGGGGCTATGGGGCTCAGCCCTTGAAATTGTTTATTAAAAGCATTTAACATTTTAAAATGATTTTTTTGGTTAAAAATACCAGTTTTTTCTTCAATAGCTTTTAGGGAATTTGACCCATTTGCTCCAAACCACTTTTAAATAATAGTACTAAATGAGGGCTATGGGGCTCAGCCCTTGAAATTGTTCTTAAAAGCATTTAACATTTAAAATGATTTTTTTGGTTAAAAATACCAGTTTTTCTTCAATAGCTTTTAGGGCATTTGACCCATTTGCTCAAACCACTTTTAAATAATAGTACTAAATGAAGCCACTTTTAAATAATAGTACTGAAAACTGAAGCCTATACCCAGGGGCGCAGCTTTAGGACTCGTTAGGGTCACAGAACAAGAGTGCCGGAGGGCCGAAACTGAAGGGCGAAAGTCCCAATTTCATAGGGCGATTATGAATCTTTAAAGATGAGTTGGGTGAATTTAACCGGGTTCTACGTAGAACAAGAGAACTGTATTTTTCTGACATTATTGGAGGGTTCAGTACACAATTTTCGTGTTATTGTTTTCAACAGTTGGTAGATTAAACGAACCCCCCTGTAAAGTTGGCCCCTAGAAATTTTCCTGCTAAATCTAGGTGTAATGAGTTTCGCACAGTTTTTCGATGACAAAGTACAAGGAATCAAAAACACATCACCTCCACAGCACGTATAACAATGCAACAGCCAGAGAAAGCTTTTTTGAGCTAACTCCACTTTGCACCTGTGGGATACTGAACTGTCAAAAGATAATCATAGTCTGAGCTCCTCCACATGTAGCCTGATTATATTTCCTCTAAATTTCTGAGTCCAATGTCCTGGGGAAAGCGTTTGTTACCCTTCACTGACTCAAATAGTAAACATGTCTCTGGTGCGTCAGGAACATTTCCGTATGGCCCCTAAAACGCAGTCTTAAGACCTCTCCTAAAAAAGAGCAGTCTGATCCTGCGGTACCTTATGTCAAAATTATATCGCCCCATATCGAATCCGCCATTTATTGAAAAAATTCTTGAAAAGTTGGCCTCCCCAACAACTTTACTGAATTTTTATAAAACATGAATAATTCTTATTGGATATGTTCCAGTCCTGGGTTTAAACCCCCACCACAAGCACTGAGACCGCTCTACGTGAAGGGAACAACGGACATTCGACTTCACACTGATTGAGGTAAAGTCACAGTTTTGGTCATGTTAGATCTTAGTTCGCGTTCGACACTGTCGACCATGAGATCCTCATGCAGAGACTGGAGGACTGGCTGGTGTCACTGGCACAGCCATAGACAGGTCTAGTCTTACCTGGAGGATAGAAGTACTCTTTGGAGATTGGAGACTGCGTCTCAGATGATGTGGCCGTGACCTGTGGTTACCACAGGGGTCGATCCTGGGGACCTTCTCCTATTTAATCTCAACATCTGCCGTTAGGTCAGTTAATACAAAGAAACAAAGTGTCCAATCCACAATTACAGCTGACGACACTCAGATCCTTATGTCTCACTGACTGCAGGAGGAACATGGACCACTTGGATTTGCTCCTCACTGTACTCCTACAATCAGTGACTGGATGCAAAATAATTTCCTCCAGCTAAATGCAAGGGACAAAACCAAATCATTGACTTTGGTCCCCAGGAAACAAAGAGAGGGCGTCAGTTTGGTCAAACTTCAGTCTCTCTCACCTACTTCCTCAGACAAGGTCAAGAAAATTTGGGGGTAATCTGGACTCAGACCTAAAATTTCAATAGCCCACATAAAATCAATAACAATCCAACAGCTTTTTTTACCATCTGAAACAACATTGCAAAGTTAGAAATATAGTGTCTTAGGGCAGACTTGAGATTCTTAGTCCATGCATGCACTGCAAATATGCAATCTCTCCTCAGGCTTAAACTTTCAATTGTTTTTCAAGTTGTTGAAGTGTCCACTGTCACTTTACCTGTACTTATGCTAATGCTAACACGCTAACATGTAAACATACAACTATATATGTCTGAACTAGAATATACAGGATTTATACTTGCTTCTTTATTATTCAATTCAATTCAATTCATTCTTTATTAAGAACACAGAGAAAACTGGTTCATAGATTAAAAACAAAAAACATAAGTATACAATAAAAGTAAAAACAGGTGTAAAGGCAGGACCTCCAATGCCTCCATAAGTCAGAGCAAAAGAGTTTATACAATATCTGATGGAGACAACACATGACCTCGCACAACAATTCACAAACATTTCACTGGCGCTACAAAACCTGTGCACTGACTCCGTCCGTTAATATTTACAGTCTACAGTTTGAACAGGGGAGGAGAGTCAGTGTTGTGGAGGTCAGGGCCCAGGGGCGAGGGAGTTCCAGAGCTGGGGAGCAGAGCAGGTGATTGCTCTACCGCCCATGGTGACGGGGAGATGAGAGGGGACAGAGAAGATAAGATATCCTTTATTCGTCCTACAGTGGGGAGATTTCAAGAGAGCTGGAGAGAGGAGTGGTTCCTTAGGCCAAACTCTAAGGTGGCGTTGTTGGATTATACATATTTAAACTGACATCATGGTGAATGGAATCAAGGCGTTTTGCTGCCTCTGGAGAATGAAAGAGAACCAAACTCTAACTAAAGCTCGATCACTGCTTTAAACATCACAGTAAAGGCCTGTGTACACTCGCGCGGCGCTGGTTACGGTTACGTTGAACCTACGTAGCCACAGTTGCTGGTACACTCTTACGTTCCTCTTGCGGAGTTTTGAAGAGAATCTTGTAATCTCACAACCAACCACATGATGGCGATCTCACAGGAGTTGCCTGAGAAACCAAAGCGGTCCCATTTGTGCTGCTACTTTCTCCTCTTCAGAACAAAAACAAAAGCGAAGCTGTTTGAGATCATTACATGTGTTTCTACTGTAGGTTTGTGTGACCGTTCTAAACTCATCGTTTCAACTCATTTAACTGTGATGTTGTGAATAAAGACACTGTTCTTGTTGGAAACATAGTTATTATTGAAGTGTATTCAGCACAAACGGCAAAACAATAAAAGTGGTAAATATCTGAGACAAACATGAACTATTTACAAGTGCAGGAGGAATGGAACAGACGCGATAAGCTACGATTCAAACAAAGACAGGAACAGTGCAAGAGAAATGACTGCACAGTTTATAAGTTTATATATAAGTTAGATATGCAACAGAACTCTAGTCCACAGTCTTTGCGTATATCAGGCTTGGCCATGAACCCAAACTACTTTTCGAAGCGCGAGGCAGTTTGCTCCATAGTGCCTTGTCCATGTCCCTGCAGAAAGTAATCACACACGGACCAATCACAGCGGAGCTTCTCTGCGGCGCGGCTTGCGTAGTTAGACATTTTTGAGGGTGTGTGGCAGGCTACGTAAGGGCCTTGTGGTGATCTACGTGTTGCGCAAGTGACGTCACGTCACCACCGTAAGGTCCGCGCCGCGCGACTATACACTAGGCTTCAGACACACTTGTACTGTACGCAGAGAGAGAAGTAAACTGTTACCGGCATGATCTGCTGCAAGTCCTCCAGCGTGGCCGTCGCCATGCCGACCGTGGCGTTTGGGTCACATGGTGCAGTGGGCGGAGTCAGGAGCTTTCTGTACAAGAGACAAGAGGAGACTGATTACACTCTGAAATAATCAATGACTCTTAAAATAAAATAAATAATCTTATGTCTTTGAGCTTTAAGGCTCAGAAGGTTCTTTCAATTAGACAACAGTGTAAAGAAGCTAGTGCCTCTGGCCTCTGGAAAAGCCATGTTCCAGCTTCTTCCCTCTGGCAGAAGATATTGTTGGCTGTAGGACATCTTGATATGCTAACATGCTAACAGCTTCTTTCAGCTTTCTCTCATTGTTTCTTTAATCTTGTTTTATAGAGCACACTGGGGATTCTTGCACATGTATTCCAATGTGGTTTTACTGCAAATAACAGAGTAAAAAAACTGGAGCTGATTCTAACTGAAATCTACAATTTTATCTATCTGTGGTCTTTTCTCTGTTCTACCATCTACAGACGTACCTGTAAACATAGAGAGGGAAGTGTATGTCCAGAGCGATGCTGTTGTAGACGGCTAAACCCATCAGCTGATCTCTGGGGTCAAAGAATTCATTAGCATTAGCATGTAGCTGCTAACATTAGCATGTAGCTATTAGCATAATGCAAAATCTCTAACTTTAGCATAACAAAAAGCAAGTATAAATCCTGTATATTCTAGAGCAGACATAAGAATCACATCTGCTGAAGGGTGTGTGTGTGTGAGTGTGTGAGAGTGTGTGTGTGGGTGTATGAGTGTGTGTGTGATTGTGTACGTGTGTATGTGTATGAGAGAGTGTGGGTGTGGGTGTGATTGTGTGTATGTGTGTATGAGAGTGCGAGTGTGTGTGTATGAGTGTGTGTGATTGTGTACGTGTGTATGTGTATGAGAGAGTGTGTGTGTGTGTGTGTGTGATTGTGTACGTGTGTATGTGTATGAGAGAGTGTGTGTGTGTGTGTGTGTGATTGTGTGTATGTGTGTATGAGAGTGTGTGTGTGTGATTGTTTTATATGTCTGTGTGTATGAGAGTGTGTGCGTGTATGATTGTGTATGTGTGTGTGTGAGATGTGTATATGTGTGTCCCCACATGTGTGGTGCAGATGTGCAGCTGCAGACTGTACTGTATCAAACTGAGCAGATGATAAACACAGGGAACAGAGCTTTTCACAAACACACAACGCGATGTTTCAGGAAGTGAGAGTAAGCGTCCACCAGAGGGCAGCAGAGATCACCCTCAAACATCTGTGTATTTAAGATGTTTTTGTTGATCGGTTCACAGCACAATATTTTCTGTACTTTAAGCTTGTTTTATGTCTGTGCTTGTCTGGTGCACACTTGGGACTTCTTGCACATGTTTCCAACGGGGTTTTACTGCAAATGGAGAATAATCTGAACGAGTCTGAGGCTGTCACACAACTGAGAGCCGTCTGGTTCTCCTCACACAGATTCCTCCTTATTCCACAAACATATTAGAGTCTGAGAGAGTCTGAGAGAGTCAGAGGGAGTCAGAGGGAGACAGAGGAAGACAGAGGGAGACAGAGGGACACAGAGGGAGACAGAGAGAGACAGAGGGAGACAGAGAGAGCCAGAGAGAGACAGAGAGAGACAGAGAGAGTCAGAGGGAGACAGAGAGAGTCAGAGGGAGACAGAGGGAGACAGAGAGAGCCAGAGAGAGACAGAGAGAGACAGAGAGAGTCAGAGGGAGACAGAGAGAGTCAGAGGGAGACAGAGAGAGTCAGAGGGAGACAGAGAGAGTCAGAGGGAGACAGAGGGAGACAGAGAGAGACAGAGAGAGTCAGAGGGAGTCAGAGAGAGACAGAGGGAGACAGAGGGAGACAGAGGGAGACAGAGGAAGACAGAGGGAGACAGAGAGAGACAGAGAGAGACAGAGGGAGACAGAAGGAGACAGAGAGAGACAGAGGGAGACAGAGGGAGACAGAGAGAGACAGAGAGAGACAGAGAGAGACAAGAGAGAGACAGAGAGAGACAGAGGGAGACAGAGGCAGACAGAGGGAGACAGAGGAGACAGAGGGAGACAGAGGGAGACAGAGGGAGACAGAGGGAGACAGAGGGAGACAGAAGGAGACAGAGAGAGACAGAGGGAGACAGAGGGAGACAGAGGGAGACAGAGAGAGACAGAGAGAGACAGAGAGAGACAGAGAGAGTCAGAGGGAGACAGAGGGAGACAGAGGGAGACAGAGGGAGTCAGAGAGAGTCAGAGGGAGACAGAGAGAGTCAGAGGGAGACAGAGGGAGACAGAGGGAGACAGAGAGAGTCAGAGGGAGACAGAGGGAGACAGAGGGAGACAGAGAGAGTCAGAGGGAGACAGAGGGAGACAGAGGGAGACAGAGAGAGTCAGAGGGAGACAGAGGGAGACAGAGGGAGACAGAATGAGTCAGAAGGAATCAGACAAAGTCTCCCAGAGTTCGAAGTCTGCGATGTTGCGTTGAGCATCTGGTTTGTGTCTAAATAAGAGATTTTTTCTGATTACGTTCTTCATACAAACCAGTCCTTTGAATAGACCGTGATTGTTAGGTTATCGAGGAGAGTGTGATTTCCCACTTCTACCAAGAGGTGGGTGTTGTGCCTGATCCGCCTCTATTCTATTTCTTGCTCTGAAGAATGAAATTCCAAAATAAATATTCTCAATACCAAGTTGAAGTCGATTTGCTTATAAACACGACATAATGCATAGGTTTATACTCAAAGATGCTTCTCACATGATTATTCTTTCACTCCAGACTCCGTGGTAATAAACTACTACCAGTCTGTGCCATCGGCCCCTGATGTGGCATTCTAATGTGGATGAAGTGTCTTGCCAAAGGGCATGACCACAGTTTGGCACTTTAGAGCTGCAGCCGCACAACTGTGGCTACCATCACAGTACTAACCAGGCGTTTCCCTGCTTAGCTTCAGAGACTGTGTGGATAAAGGATACAGTTCCGACCAGTTGGAACTCTAAATAGTTGTCACACTTCCAGCTGCTGAACCAGTGGCAGCGCGAGTCCTTCATGTAGGTGAACATACCTGCACGACAGACGTCACATTTATTTACATCGCACACTTCATACTGTGCCAATGACACAGTGCAAATACATACGACATATGTTGGATTAAAAATGGCAAATTCAAGAGTTAAAACAATGAAAAAATACATTTTCAAATTTGTCGTTTGTCAGACTTTAGCTGCCTCCCCATGTTTAGACCTGACTCTGAGACCAGCAGGAGGCTAGACCCTGTGCTCCTCAGAGTCCCAGCAGGAGGCCAGTCCCTGTGCTCCTCAGAGTCCCAAGCAGGAGGCCAGTCCCTGTGCTGATGGTCCTGGTGTTACCCCCTCTCCTGCCTCTGATGGTCCTGGTGTTTCCCCCTCTCCTGCCTCGGATGGTCCTGGTGTTACCCCCTCCCTTGCCTCTGATGGTCCTGATGTTATCCCCTCTCCTGCCTTTGATGGTCCTGGTGTTACCCCCTCTCTCCTGCCTCTGATGGTCCTGATGTTATCCCTTCTCCTGCCTTTGATGGTCCTGGTGTTACCCCCTCTCTCCTGCCTCTGATGGTCCTGGTGTTACCCCTTCTCTCCTGCCTCCAATGGTCCTGGTGTTATCCCCTCCCCTGCCTCTGATGGTCCTGGTGTTATCCCCTCTCCTGCCTCTAATGGTCCTGGTGTTACCCCCTCTCTCCTGCCTCTGATGGTCCTGGTGTTTCCCCCTCTCCTGCCTCTGATGGTCCTGGTGTTACCCCCTCTCCTGCCTCTAATGGTCCTGGTGTTACCCCCTCTCTCCTGCCTCTGATGGTCCTGTGTTATCCCCTCTCTCCTGCCTCTGATGGTCCTGGTGTTACCTCCTCTCCTGCCTCTGATGGTCCTGGTGTTACCCCCTCTCCTGCCTCTTCTGCCTGAGCCTGTCCTTAAACCACCCCTCCCTCCTCTGTTCCACATCTCATAAAAATCGACTTTGTGACTGATCCGGAGCTCACTCTGACTCCAAAGTGAAGGATTGAGTTTCCATCAAAAAGGGTTTAAAGATCAACTGAACACCTGTGCCCAGCCTGACTCCGCCTCCAAAGAAGGGCGTTTCCCGAGGACCAGGAGACAAGAAGGGGGCCAGGAACAAAATTAAAATGTAATGCCACCAAAGAGGTAGAGAGGGAGCCACACGGACGGTTTCAGGCTCAAAAGTGAGATTTTGTCCAATTTGCACAAACATTTCAAATAAAATTACCAGGAAATGTAGAAGGCACTGAAAGAAACAAAACTGGAAATTGGCATGCCCTTTGTTATGAAGCCCATAAAAATCTCTGGTGCAACCAATTACCTTCAAAAGTCACATAATTAGTGAAATGATGTCCACTTGTGTGCAATCTAAGTGTCACATGATCAGTCAGTACATATACACACCTTTTTTGAAAGGCCTCAGAGGCTGCATCACCTAAGCAAGAGGCACCACAAACAAAACACTGCCATGAAGACCAAGGAACTCTCCAAACAAGTAAGGGACAGTGTTGTTGAGAAGTACAAGTCAGCGTTAGGTTATTAAAAAAATATCCAAATCTTTGATGATCCCCAGGAGCACCGTCAAATCTATCATAGCCAAATGGAAAGAACATGGCACAACAGCAAACCTGCCAACAGACTGCCGCCCACCAAAACTCACGGAACGGGCAAGGAGGGCATTAATCAGAGAGGCAGCACAGAGACCTAAGGTAACCCTGGAGGAGCTGCAGAGTTCCACAGCAGAGACTGGAGTATCTGTACATAGGACAACAATAAGCCGTACGCTTCATAGAGTTGGGTTTTATGGCAGAGTGGCCAGAAGAAAGCCATTACCTTCAGCAAAAAGCAAAATGGCACGTTTTGAGTTTGCAAAAAGGCATGTGGGAGACTCCCAAAATGTATGGAGGAAGGTGCTCTGGTCTGATGAGACTAAAATTTAACTTTTCAGCCATCAAGGAAAACGCTATGTCTGGCGCAAACCCAACACATCACCCAAAGAACACCATCCCCAGAGTGAAACATGGTGGTGGCAGCATCATGCTGTGGGGATGTTTTTCAGCAGCCGGGACTGGGAAACTGGTCAGAGTTGAGGGAAAGATGGATGGTGCTAAATACAGGGATATTCTTGAGCAAAACCTGTACCACTCTGTGCGTGATTTGAGGCTAGGACTGAGGTTCACCTTCCAGCAGGACAATGACCCCAAACGCACTGCTAAAGCAACACATCTGTGGTTTAAGGGGAAACGTGTAAATGTGTTGGAATGGCCTAGTCAAAGTCCAGACCTCAATCCAATAGAAAATCTGTGGTCAGACTTAAAGATTGCTGTTCACAAGCGCAAACCATCCAACTTGAAGGAGCTGGAGCAGTTTTGAAAGGAGGAATGGGCAAACATCCCAGTGGTAAGATGTGGCAAGCTCATAGAGACGTATCCAAAGCGATTTGGAGCTGTGATTGCCGCAAAAGGTGGCTCTACAAAGTATTGACTTTAGAGGGGTGAATAGTTATGCACATTGACCTTTTCTGTTATTTTGTCCTATTTGTTGTTTGCTTCACAATAAAAAAGACAACATCTTCAAAGTTGTAGGCATGTTCTGTAAATTAACTGATGCAAATCCTCAAACAATCCACGTTAATTCCAGGTTGTGAGCCAAACAAAACACACAAAATGCCAATGGGTGAATACTTTTGCAAGGCATTGTAAATGTATTTAAGAAGACCATATTGAACCCTGAGGACAAGGTCTGAACCCTGAGGACCGAGGACCAACAGAGATAGTGTAGTTACCGTAGTCTGAGTGGAAGACCTGTCGCAGCAGCAGCAGGAACCACTCCTTGGTCAGACCCCCCAGGTCCAGACCCGCCTCCCCCACAAACGTCACCCGCAGCTTCTTCTTCAGGTCACACCTCTTCCTGGTCAGCTGCAAACACACACACACCGGCCACACAAACATACACACACACACAGGTCACACAAACAGGTAGGTCACACACACACACATCCATACACACAAGAAGGTTACACACATGGAGACACACACCCCACTCAACGTCAAAGTAACTCCGAACTGACAGTTTCTTATGAGGGAGAGGGTTGGAGTGAGTGTGAGGGTTAGAGTGAGGGTGAGGGCCAGGGAGAGGACCAGGGTGAGGGCGAGGGAAAGGGCCAGGGTGAGGGTTAGAATGAGGGTTAGGGTGAGATAGAGGGCCAGGGAGAGGGTAAGAGTGAGGGTTAGAGTGAGCATTAGGGTGAGGGCCAGGGTGAGGGTGAGGGAGAGGTTGAGGGTGAGGGTCAGAGTGAGGGCTAGAGTGAGGGTTAGGATGAGGGAGAGGGTGAGGGTCAGAGTGAGGGTTAGAGTGAGGGTTAGGATGAGGGAGAGGGTGAGGGTGAGCACTAGGGTGAGGGTGAGGGAGAGACTGACCTCCTCCAGAGAGTCGCTGAGCAGTTGGCTCCGTCTCACTTTGATGTTGAGGAAGAGGAGGTTCATGTCGACTCTCTGTCTCCGAGACACTTTACTGACGAGAGAGAGCTGCAACACAGAGGGAGAGGGTTAGAGATAAATTTAGAGTTAGGGTTTAGGTTAGAGTTAGGGTTAAAGTTAGAGTTATTGAGGACAGGACAAACACCAGAGTGAGAAACTGGTTTCTGATGTCCATCTGTGTCAGTGATGGCGTAGCTGTTAGTTGCCCGGGCCTCGTTCTTTCCGGTGAGTCAGAATCTTGTAGATGGACGGTTGGAAACAGTTGGAGACAGTTGGAGAGAGTTTGGGATGGTTGGAGACAGTTGGAGACAGTTGGAGACAGTTGGAGACAGTTGGAGACAGGTGGAGATAGTTGGAGACAGTTGGGGACAGTTGGAGAAAGGTGGAGACAGTTGGAGACAGGTGGAGACAGGTGGAGACAGTTGGAGACAGTTGGGGACAGGTGGAGACAGGTGGAGACAGTTGGAGACAAATGGGAGACAAATGGGAGACAGGTGGAGACAGTTGAAGACAGTTGGAGACAGATGGAGACAGATGGAGAGAGTTGGAGACAGATGGAGACAGGTGGAGACAGGTGGAGACAGATGGAGACAGATGGAGACAGATGGACACAGTTGGGGACAGTTGGAGACAGGTGGAGACAGATGGAGACAGTTGGGGACAGGTGGAGACAGGTGGAGACAGATGGAGACAGATGGAGACAGTTGGAGACAGATGGAGACAGTTGGAGACAGTTGGGGACAGTTGGAGATAGTTGGGGACAGTTGAGGACAGTTGGAGACAGGTGGAGACAGTTGGAGACAGTTGGAGACAGATGGAGACAGGTGGAGACAGTTGGAGACAGATGGAGACAGGTGGAGACAGTTGGAGACAGTTGGGGACAGTTGGAGACAGTTGGAGACAGGTGGAGACAGTTGGAGACAGTTGGAGACAGTTGGAGACAGATGGAGACAGGTGGAGACAGTTGGAGACAGATGGAGACAGTTGGAGACAGTTGGAGACAGTTGGGGAAGTGGAGACAGTTGGAGACAGATGGAGACAGGTGGAGACAGTTGGAGACAGTTGGAGACAGTTGGAGACAGTTGGAGACAGGTGGAGACAGGTGGAGACAGGTGGAGACAGTTGGAGACAGTTGGGGACAGTTGGGGAGTTGGAGACAGGTGGAGACAGGTGGAGACAGTTGGAGACAGTTGGAGGCAGTTGGAGACAGTTGGAGACAGTTGGAGACAGTTGGAGATAGATGCGGACAGATGCGGACAGATGCAGACAGATGGAGACAGGTGGAGACACTGACCCTGGCTTGGCTGATCATCTGCTGCTCTGAGTCCTTCTGGATGATGGTCTTCTTCACCACAGTGGACAGGATGAACGGGAACTGACAGAAGGAGAACCTGCAACACAAGCACTCTCTCTGTTATATACAGAATGTGTTATGTACAATGCCATCTCAATGTGTCATAGAGCTTTTATATATGTGTTATGTACAGCACAGACCAAGAGTTTGGACACACCTTCTCATTCATGACTATTGGCTGTAGATTCACAGAGAAGGCATCAAAACTATGAATTGACTCGTGTGGAATTATGAACTTAACAAAAAGTGTAAAACAACAGAACATATGTGTCTTCTATTCTAGTTTCTTCAAAGTAGCACCTTTTGCTCTGATTACTGCTTTGCACACTTTTGGTATTCGTGCCCAAGTGTCTCCAACTGTCCCCAACTGTCTCCAACTGTCCCCAACTGTCTCCATCTGTCCCCAACTGTTCCCAACTGTCTCCAACTGTCTCCAACTGTCTCAACCTGTCGCCAATTGTCTCCAACTGTCCCCAACTGTCTCCATCTGTCTCCAACTGTTTCCACCTGTCTCCACCAGTCCCCATCTGTCTCCAACTGTCCCCAACTGTCTCCAACTGTCCCCAACTGTCTCCAGCTGTCCCCAACTGTCTCCAACTGTCCCCAACTGTCTCGAACTGTCTCCACCTGTCTCCACCTGTCCCCAACTGTATCCACCTGTCTCCAACTGTCTCCAACTGTCTCCACCTGTCTCCAACTATCTCCAACTGTCTCCAACTGTCCCCAACTGTCTCCATCTGTCCCCAACTGTTCCCAACTGTCTCCAACTGTCTCCAACTGTCTCAACCTGTCGCCAATTGTCTCCAACTGTCCCCAACTGTCTCCATCTGTCTCCAACTGTCTCCACCTGTCTCCACCGGTCCCCATCTGTCTCCAACTGTCCCCAACTGTCTCCAACTGTCCCCAACTGTCTCCAGCTGTCCCCAACTGTCTCCAACTGTCCCCAACTGTCTCGAACTGTCTCCACCTGTCTCCACCTGTCCCCAACTGTCTCCAACTGTCCCCAACTGTATCCACCTGTCTCCAACTGTCTCCAACTGTCTCCACCTGTCTCCAACTATCTCCAACTGTCTCCAACTGTCCCCAACTGTCCCCAACTGTCTCCACCTGTCTCCAACTGTCCCCAACTGTCTCCAACTGTCTCCAACTTTCCCCAACTGTCTCCACCTGTTTCCAACTTTCTCCAACTGTCTCCAACTGTCCCCAACTGTCTCCAACTGTCCCCGACTGTCTCCAACTGTCTCCAACTGTCCCCAACTGTCTCCAACTGTCTCTAACTGTCTCCACCTGTCTCCAACTGTCTCCAACTGTCTCCAACTGTCCCCAACTGTCTCCAACTGTCTCCACCTGTCTCCAACTGTCCCCAACTGTCTCCAAGTGTCTCCAACTTTCCCCAACTGTCTCCACCTGGTTCCAACTTTCTCCAACTGTCTCCAACTGTCCCCAACTGTCCCCAACTGTCTCCAACTGTCCCCAACTGTCTCCAACTGTTCCCAACTGTCTCCAACTGTCTCCAACTGTTCCCAACCGTCTGCAACTGTCTCCAACTGTCTCCACCTGTTCCCAACTGTCTCAAACTGTCCCCAACTGTCTCCACCTGTCTCCCACTGTCTCCATCTGTCTCCAACTGTCCCCAACTGTCTCCAACTGTCTCCAACTGTCTCCACCTGTCTCCAACTGTCTCCAACTGTCTCCAACTGTCTCCATCTGTCTCCAACTTTCCCCAACTGTCTCCACCTGTTTCCAACTTTCTCCAACTGTCTCCACCTGTCTCCAACTGTCTCCAACTGTCCCCAACTGTCTCCAACCGTCCCCAACTGTCTCCAACTGTCTCCGACTGTCCCCAACTGTCTCCAACTGTCCCCAACAGTCTCCAACTGTTCCCAACCGTCTGCAACTGTCTTCAACTGTCTCCGACTGTCCCCAACTGTCTTCAACTGTTCCCAACTGTCTCCAACTGTCTCCAACTGTCCCCAACCGTCCCCAACCGTCTCCAACTGTCTCCAACTGTCCCCAACTGTCTCCAACTGTCTCCAACTGTCCCCAACTGTCTCCAACTGTCTCCAACTGTTCCCAACTGTCTCCAACTGTCTCCAACTGTTCCCAACTGTCTCCAACTGTCTCCGACTATCTCCAACTGTCCCCAACTGTCCCCAACTGTCTCGACTGTTCCCAACTGTCTCCAACTGTCCCCAACTGTCTCCAACTGTCACCAACTGTCTTTAGCTGTCTCCAACTGTCCCCAACTGTCTCCACCTGTCCCAACTGTCCCCAACTGTCTCCAACTGTCCCCAACTGGATGGATACACCCCTGATAGTCATACTGAATAGACTTTTAGAATTTGTATTACGGCATGAAAAAAGCAGCTAAGTAAAGAAAAACTAGTGACCATCATTACTTTAAGAAATTAAGGTCAGTCTGTCTGAAAAATTGGGAAAACTTTGAAAGTATCCCCAAGGGCAGTCACGAAAACCATCAAGCGCCACAAAGAAACTGGCTCACATTATTGCCGCTCAAGAAAAGGAAGACCAAGAGTCACCTCTGCTGCAGAGGATGAGTCGCCAGCCTCAGAAATCGCGTGCTAGCAGCAGACACAACTTTTAAGAGGAAACTGTGGGAATCAGGCCTAAATGGTAAAATAGCTGCTAGGAAACTACTGCTAAGTAGTGGTGGGAGAGGGTTCTCAGACCTGCTGGAGTTGCCGTAGCTCTGCCAGGTCCTGTACTCCTCCATGAAGTTGATGTGTTCCAGAGTGATGTTGTAGAAGTCGGTGAAAGGCATGATGGGAGGAGACGACACGCTGTTCGCCGCATCTGAAGACGACACACACAGGTTGGGGTTCTGTGAGACACTGTGATCCATGTCCCTCACATTATTCAAACATTTTACAAACTTCTGCTTTTCAAAAACGTTTATTGATCCTGAAGGAAAAGGTGCATTAGTTCAATAATCACCCACATCGTCACATGGTAGAATTGAATGTAATGTTTATCTATTTCTCTTTGATTCTCAGTATGATGGTAATTAGAGAGCTTTGCAACATGGTTCTACTCCGTGTTCTGCTCCTGGTTCGGCTACTAGTTCTACTCCTGGTTCTTCTCTTGGTTCTGCTCTTGGTTCTGCTCCTGATTCTGCTCCTGATTCTGCTCCTGGTTCTGCTCCAGGTTCTGCTCTTGGTTCTACTCCTGGTTCTGCTCCTGGTTCTGCTCTTGGTTCTACTCCTGATTCTGCTCCTGGTTCCGCTTTTGGTACTGCTCCTGGTTGTACTTCTGGTTCTGCTCTTGGTTGTACTCCTGTTTCTGCTCCTGCTTCTACTCCTGGTTCAGGGGGACCGGGGGGACAGGGGGCAGGAGTACTCACTGAAGAGGCCCAGGACCTTGGTGGCTGCAGGGACCCACCAGGAGCACTTGGATGGAGGAGGCAGCTCATCAGGGTCTGCAGGGAGCAGACGTGTGGAGATGAACTGTAGGAGGCGCTCTACCAGCTGTTTGAACCTGCGCACGGACAGCCTGCAACACAAGAGGCCCATCAGAAACACACACACACAGAAACACACACAGGCCCTTACTACATCTCTGCTCCTACCCCACCTGTAAAGAGAGGCCACAACTACAGGACTCAGCTTCACACAGACTGATGTGTCTGTGCTCAGAGGGAGGACAAGAGGTGTCATAAGGCACACCATTGTTCAATTCCATTTATTCTTTTATTGCCCTAAATCACAACAGATGTTCTCTCAGAGGACTTCACACAGATGTCGATTCTCCAACACAGATCAGAGAATCAAGCAGTTCAAACACATTGGTCCAACAGGACCAGATGGATCAAATATATGAATCCAGAAACATAATGATAAAGCTGTATTTAACAGTTGACATGAAATGAAGCTTAAGCGCAAATTCAGACTGGAAGACTAAAAATCCCAGCTCACTTCGCTCAAAGTCCTCTTGCTGTTGCCCACAGCAGCAGCATCAGTCAATCACGCTCATCAGCAGCATCAGGCACTAACCGTATCAGCTTCATATCGCGCAGAAGCTCCAACCAAGTAGCAGCTTCATTCACGCTGCAACCCTCCTCCTCCCCATCTCCGCCTTGTTCTAGGCCAGCTCCTTCATCCTTCTCCTAGCTACCACCACCAGGGTCCAGGCTCCGGGGGATTTCATCTCATAATCTCTTTGCTCTACTGCAATCGTGCAGGTCTGTCCGGGGTCTAAGCGCCAAATCTTAACCACATTCTGTACAGCAAAAATAAATGTAATCTTGAAAATATTGTCCTCAGAGTCATATGTGTAATTGATGTAGTATCAAATAACTGCCAATCAACAAACAATTCTAATACTACGGCTTTTCTAAACTTTGGCTGTTCGAGTCTCTTCGAGATTGAAACATATCTATGGAACATTTGAAGCAGAAGTGGAAGCTCTGAGGGACCGGCCCCAAACGTCTGTGGACAGACTCATAACTGTCTGATGACATCATCAGTCCTGGACGGTCTCCTCTGTGGCCTGAGCTGCTCCTGCTTCAGTCCAAACAAAGATGTCACAGGAAAACTATCCACAAGCAGCTGCGACGCCACAGAGCTCTAGGACTGGACCTGGACTGGACCAGGACTGAACCAGGACTGGCGGGTCTAAAGCAGGTCTAAAGCAGGTCTAAAGCAGGACTAAAGCAGGACTAATGCAGGTCTATAGCAGGACTAATGCAGGTCTAAAGCAGGACTAAAGTAGGTCTAAAGCAGGACTAAAGCAGGTCTAAAGCAGGACTAATGCAGGTCTATAGCAGGACTAAAGCAGAACTAAAGCAGGTCTAAAGTAGGACTAAAGCAGGTCTAAAGTAGGACTAAAGCAGGTCTAAAGCAGGACTAAAGCAGGTCTAGAGCAGGGCTAAAGCAGAACTAAAGCAGGTCTAGAGCAGGGCTAAAGCAGGGCTAAAGCAGGGCTAAAGCAGGGCTAAAGCAGGCCTAAAGCAGGACTAAAGCAGGTCTAAAGTAGGACTAAAGCAGGTCTAAAGTAGGACTAAAGCAGGTCTAAAGCAGGACTAAAGCAGGTCTAGAGCAGGGCTAAAGCAGGGCTAAAGCAGAACTAAAGCAGGTCTAGAGCAGGGCTAAAGCAGGGCTAAAGCAGGCCTAAAGCAGGACTAAAGCAGGTCTAAAGGCCAGGGTGGAAACACAGTCTGAGCCTTTTAACTGGACCTCCCTCCTCCCTCTTCTGTGAACAAGACCTGAGACACTTTCTCCCGTGGAAGAACCTCAGCTCCCCCTGGAGACGGCAGGCTCCTCTCCAGCCCTGGACCATGTGGGACACTTCCCATACAGCCCTGGACCATGTGGGACGACCTGCTGTGATGAGCTAAACCAGACTCACATAAACAGGGAACAGAGGCGGTGACAGAGGGTGAGGCCAACACCGGGAACATCTCTGACTCTGGTCATACCATGGATCTATAATAATAACTGGATAGGGTATTACTAGCTTGGAGCTGAAGGACCCAAGTGCTCGAGGGATTCTCAACGTACTGCAGACTAAACAAGACTCAATTCACGTGGGCTACCCAGAAATGTTCCCCATAGAACCCAATGTAAACTAAAACAACCTGACCTCAGCTGACAGAGAACCTACAGCTTTCATAAAGGTCAGATTTTATTCTTCTTAAATCCTTCGGGTTTTCTTTAAATTCACACTTTACCGCCACAAACTCGGCTCCTTTGGCTCCCGCTCTAACTCGAGCTCTAGCTCCGCTCTGATCAGCAGAACGAACGCTTTCTCCAAATCCACAAAGCACATGTTGAGTTTTTGATGATGGGTCTAGAGCTGGTCCAGTTCTACAACCAGGACCCAACTCAGACACAAGTGGTTCAGGGTCAGGGTGAGGGTGAGGGTCAGGGTCAGGGCGAGGGTGAGGGTCAGGGTCAGGGTCAGGGCAAGGGTGAGAATTAGGGTGAGGGTGAAGGTCAGGGTGAGGATTAGGGTCAGGGTCAGGGTGAGGGTCAGGGTGAGGGTCAGGGCCAATAGCTAACACAGTAAACCCCCTAGCCTCATAGCCTTCTAGCTAACACGGTGAAGCAGACCTACTTCTTGAGCCAGTGGACCAGGAAGTGGTGGTCGGCCTCGGACAGAGCAGAGATCTGGCGCAGCAGGTGGGCGTAGATCACGTATGTGCTGGTGCTGGAGTACTGAGGGTTCTGCAAAGAGAGGGGAGGGTGAGTAATACTAAGTGAGAAAGAGGTGTCGGGTCAGAGGTGTTGGGTCAGAGGTGTCAGGTCAGAGGTGTCGGGTCAGAGGTGTTAGGTCAGAGGTGTTAGGTCAGTGGGTGCCGGGTCATAGGTTTCGGGTCAGAGGTGTTGGGTCAGAGGTGTCGGGTCATAGGTGTCGGGTCAGAGGTGTCAGGTCAGATGTGTCGGGTTAGAGGTGTCGGGTCAGAGGTGTCGGGTCAGAGGTGTTGGGTCAGAGGTGTCGGGTCAGAGGTGTCGGGTCAGAGGTGTTGGGTCATAGGTGTCAGGTCAGAGGTGTTGGGTCAGATGTGTTGAGTCAGAGGTGTCGGGTCAGAGGTGTCGGGTCAGAGGTGTCGGGTCAGAGGTGTCGGGTCAGAGGTGTTGAGTCAGAGGTGTCGGGTCAGAGGTGTCGGGTCAGAGGTGTCGGGTCAGAGGTGTCGGGTCAGAGGTGTCAGGTCAGAGGTGTCAGGTCAGAGGTGTTGGGTCAGAGGTGCCGGGTCATAGGTTTCGGATCAGAGGTGTCGGGTCAGAGGTGTCAGGTCAAAGGTGTTGGGTCAGATGTGTTGGGTCAGAGGTGTCGGGTCAGAGGTGTCGGGTCAGAGGTGTTGGGTCAGAGGTGTCGGGTCAGAGGTGTCGGGTCAGAGGTGTTGGGTCATAGGTGTCAGGTCAGAGGTGTTGGGTCAGATGTGTTGAGTCAGAGGTGTCGGGTCAGAGGTGTCGGGTCAGAGGTGTCGGGTCAGAGGTGTCGGGTCAGAGGTGTTGAGTCAGAGGTGTCGGGTCAGAGGTGTCGGGTCAGAGGTGTCGGGTCAGAGGTGTCGGGTCAGAGGTGTCAGGTCAGAGGTGTCAGGTCAGAGGTGTTGGGTCAGAGGTGCCGGGTCATAGGTTTCGGATCAGAGGTGTCGGGTCAGAGGTGTCAGGTCAGAGGTGTTGGGTCAGATGTGTTGGGTCAGAGGTGTCGGGTCAGAGGTGTCAGGTCAGAGGTGTCAGGTCAGAGGTGTCGGGTCAGTGGTGTCGGGTCAGTGGTGTCGGGTCAGAGGTGTTGGGTCAGAGGTGTCGGGTCAGAGGTGTCGGGTCATAGGTGTCGGGTCAGCGATGTCAGGTCAGAGGTGTTGGGTCAGATGTGTCGGGTCAGAGGTGTCGGGTCAGAGGTGTTGGGTCAGAGGTGTCGGGTCAGAGGTGTCGGGTCAGAGGTGTCGGGTCAGAGGTGTCGGGTCAGAGGTGTCGGGTCAGAGGGTCACAGAAGCTCTGTCCCCTTTCCGTCTGAACAGTTCTTTGTTCAGATCTTTGGGTTAAATAAAGTGAAAAAACTATTTATACAAATAACTCTGACCCTAATGATACGTCTGTGCAAAGTTGCAGAAGATTTTCCAAGCTTCACTAAAGCGCCACTGTCATCCAGCATGACCTCACCCTGTGTGTGTGTGTGTGTGTGTGTGTGTGCGCATGTGTGTGTGTGTGTGCGTGCGCACACGCTCTGAACCACAGCTCAACTACTGTGGGTTCCAGACTTCTAATTTCCAGAACCATATATGGGATTGAGCGGGAAGCAAGAGAGGAGAGAGGGGAGAGAAGAGAAAAGAGAGGGGAGAGAGGAGAGAAGGGAGTAAGTAAGTAAGTAAGTTTTTATTTATATACCGCCTTTTCACTGCAGATCTGAGTCTCAAAGCGGTTTACAATTGTTAATTTTGGGCATTTGTCTCTCACTCCACACAGAGATGGGAGCGGGGTCGCCAGTACAGGAAGCGCATGCCAGAACTATTGGACATATTTTTAGTGGTAGGGGAAACCGGAGTACCCGGAGGAAACCTATGCAGACACGGGGAGAACATGCAAACTCCACTCAGAAAGGCCCTGGTCCGACCGGGATTCGAACCCAGGACCTTTTTGCTGAGAGGCGAGAGTGCTATCCACTCAGCCACCGTGCCGCCCCAAGGGAGGAGAGAGAGGAGGGAGAAGAGAGAGAAGAGAGAGAAGAGAGAGAGGGGAGAGAGGGGAGAGAGGAGAGAGAGGGGAGAGAGAGGGGAGAGAGGAGAGAGAGGAGAGAGAAAGGAGAGAGGAGCGAGAGGGGAGAGAGGAGCGAGAGGGGAGAGAAGAGAGATGAGAGAGAAAAGAGAGGAGAGAGAGAAGTAAAGAGAGAGGGGAGAGAGGGGAGAGAGGAGAGAGAGGGGAGAGAGAGGGGAGAGAGGAGAGAGAGGAGAGAGAAAGGAGAGAGGAGCGAGAGGGGAGAGAGGAGCGAGAGGGGAGAGAAGAGAGATGAGAGAGAAAAGAGAGGAGAGAGAGAAGTAAAGAGAGAGGGGAGAGGAGAGGAGAGAGAGGAGAGAGAAAAGAGAGGAGAGAGAAGAGAGAGGAGAGAGAAGAGAGAGGAGAGAGGGGAGAGAGTAAGGAGAGGAGAGAGAGGGGAGAGGAGAGTCTGTGGGTCTGAGGTCCGTGGTATCACCTGGACCAGGATGAAATATGCTCGCAGGTCGTCTTTCGTCCGAGGCCTGAGACCACAACACAATACATTAGGAGAATATACACACACGCACACAAACACACCCACACTAGGGCTGAAACAACTGATCGATTATTGAAATAGTCGACAACTATTTTAGTAATCGATTAATCGTTTTCTGGTTCACACAGACTCAAACAGAGCAAAAATGACATGAAAATGTAGTATTTTTGATTAAAACCGACTTAGATTGCAGATAGCAGAATTAGCACAAAGAGCCTGTTACAAAAATTTACTTTAAGTTTACGCCATCAATACGTCCTCGAGTGTTGCCACTTTAGCTTTTTGTGATGAAAAAATACATTTTTTCTACACAATTAACAGCCAAGCGATTACTCGATTAATCGTAAAAATAATCGATAGATTAATCGATTACAAAATAATTGTTAGTTGCAGCTCTAACCCACACACATATAGACACACATATATAGACATACACATATAGAAACAGATATAAAGACGCACACATGAAGACACACTCATATAGAAACACATATAAAGACACACACATATAGACACACACAGAGTCCTCACCCCTTCCACTCCCGCAGCAGACTGTTGATGATTCCCTTCAGCACAGACTTCTGGATGTCCTGAGGCTGAAACACACAAAGCCAAACATACAACATCAAACACACAACATGAAACACACAACAAACACACAACATCAAACACGCCTCTGTGTTAGAGCTCACCGTGTTGAGCAGTGCGTCGTACACTGCATTTACAAATTTGCTGTTAACTCCTGAGTCGTCGATCGTGTTGAACGATCCATTCGCCTCTCGCTGCAAAGACACACAACAGACACACAATAGATACACAAACATGTGAGGTCACAGACTGTGACTCAGTCAATGGTCTGTTGCTGGTCTCAGTCGTTGGTCTGTTGCTGGTGTCGTACCTTGAAGGCTGCGTTGATTTCGATGAAGGAGGTGAAGGTGGTGAGGAAGAAGTCTCTGACCTCTCTCCAGTCTCCGCTGACCACCGCCCGCTCCATGTCCTCTCTGTGACACACTTTGTCTCAGTATACATGTCTCAGTATACATGTCTCAGTATACATGTCTCAGTATACATGTCTCAGTATGCATGTCTCAGTATACATGTTAACGTATATACATGTCTCAGTATGCATGTCTCAGTATACATGTCTCAGTATACATGTCTCAGTATGCATGTCTCAGTGTACATGTCTCAGTGAACATGTCTCAGTATACATGTCTCAGTATACATGTCTCAGTATACATGTCTCAGTATACATGTCTCAGTATGCATGTCTCAGTATACATGTTAACGTATACATGTCTCAGTATGCATGTCTCAGTATACATGTCTCAGTATACATGTCTCAGTATACATGTCTCAGTGTACATGTCTCAGTGTACATGTCTCAGTATGCATGTCTCTGTATACATGTCTCTGTATACATGTATCAGTATACATGTCTCAGTATACATGTCTCAGTGTACATGTCTCAATATACATGTCTCAGTATACATGTCTCTGTATACATGTATCAGTATACATGTCTCAGTATACATGTTTAAGTATACATGTCTCAGTATGCATGTCTCAGTATACATGTTAAAGTATACATGTCTCAGTGTACATGTCTCAGTATACATGTCTCAGTATGCATATCTCAGTATACATGTTAAAGTATACATGTCTCAGTATACATGTCTCAGTATACATGTCTCTGTATACATGTCTCAGTATACATGTCTCAGTATGCATGTCTCAGTATACATGTCTCAGTACACATGTCGCAGTGTACATGTCTCTGTATACATGTCTCAGTATGCATGTCTCAGTATACATGTTAACGTATACATGTCTCAGTATACATGTCTCAGTATACATGTCTCAGTGTACATGTCTCAGTATACATGTCTCAGTATGCATGTCTCAGTATACATGTCTCAGTATACATGTCTCAGTATGCATGTCTCAGTATACATGTCTCAGTATACATGTCTCAGTATGCATGTCTCAGTATACATGTCTCAGTATACATGTCGCAGTGTACATGTCTCTGTATACATGTCTCAGTATGCATGTCTCAGTGTACATGTTAACGTATACATGTCTCAGTATACATGTCTCAGTATACATGTCTCAGTGTACATGTCTCAGTATACATGTCTCAGTATACATGTCGCAGTGTACATGTCTCTGTATACATGTCTCAGTATGCATGTCTCAGTATGCATGTCTCAGTATACATGTTTCTGTATACATGTCTCAGTGTACATGTCTCAGTATACATGTCTCAGTATGCATGTCTCAGTATACATGTCTCAGTATACATGTCTCAGTATACATGTCTCTGTATACATGTCTCAGTATACATGTCTCAGTACACATGGTCTCAGTCCACATGGTCTCAGTACACATGGTCTCAGTCCACATGGTCTCAGTCCACATGGTCTCAGTACACATGATCTCAGTACACATCGGTCTCAGTACACATCGGTCTCAGTCCACATGGTCTCATTACACATCATTACACATGGTCTCAGTACACATGGTCCTTACTGGAAGTCCTTGATGGTCTTGGTCCTCAGGGGGATGATGGGGTCACAGGGGAAGGGAGCTTTGGCCTCAGGGGGAAGGGTGTCGATGAGACGCTGCTTCTGACGCACACCGATGGGAGGCAGCTCTTGTCCTGCTACACACACACATACACATGCACACACAAACGGATACACACACACATACACACACACACACACACACACTCAAACACAAACACACACAGATACACACACACATTCACACACAAACACACACACACACAGATATGCACACACACACACAAACACAGACATTATTTCGATTATGCACAGATGCACGACATGTGAGGTCAGGTCGGCAGTGTTTGTTAGTCCTCAGTGTTCGTTGTACAGTCTGACCATTGAAGAACATGCTCCCTGACAGTAAGGCCACATGCTTTCATCGCAGTGAGGAGATGGAGCAGCGTATTGCACTGATGTCTTTTGCACACGGTGGGAGCTGAGTGTTTGTAGCCGTTGCTATGGTTGCAGGCAGAGGGGCCGTCTGCCGCAGCTGTGTCGGCTCCTGAGAGGACACAGTAATGAGGATGACCAACACACTGCTGATGCGTCTAGAGTGAGTGACCACAGGCTGTATTTGGATGGGCAGCGCTACCCCTACTAGCTCACTGAAGTCCAATAGGGAGAGACATGCGACAAAAAGTGTCCTGCTGCTGTTTGCTAAAGCTAAAGATGTTTGGAGGCTACAAACAAATAATACCTGCTTTAAAATGAAATGTGGTTAATATCCACGACAGAAAAGCCCTGAGGGGAGAAAAGTCACATGTGCCATAGGTGAGGCAGAAAAAAGTGCGGAAGGGCTCATAGACAAAGTTTTGCTCGCCCTGGCTCCATAGACTTATGGTGCTTTCAGAGCGGATCATGCGTTGCGTCGTGTTTCAATGCAAAGTCTACGGTGACACGCGTTCGAGCGTCACAACGCACGGACCTCTCGGCACGCACGGACAGACTGTTCAGTAGACACGCACGGACTTGGCGGGAAAGTCAAAGGGGAGGAGCTGGAGCGAAAAATCGACGCCCACAGGAGATGGATTCTGCTCATCCTTTCCTTGGGACATTCGTGCGACAACCAATCAGAGAGCAGCAAAGTGGTCACGGGGACATTAGCGGACTGAGTGAGCAGACTGAAAATACTCGTAAATAGCCAAAACAGGACCCACACCAGGCTTCACCAGAACTCAAACCAGGGTTGACAATGGGGGACTGTGTGCTTGTGAATCTATGCGTTGTCATGCTCTCGTGACCTTATGCAACGGCTTCGAGTGTGTTCGCCGATGCGGAAATACCGTTTAATAATATGAAAAAACGTATGGCGCACCTCCGTGAACACATACTGCTGTTAAATAAAGCCCGTGGAAGGTCTCTGTTCAAAGACACGCTGCAAAGCTGCATATTGGAGAAGATCTGTACACAAGATCTGTACACAAGAAGATCTGTACACCGCTAGCTAAACTCTGTTAGCATCAGAGCCGGCCGGCTACTTCTGGCACTTCCGGTGTGCGTCAGGACATCTCGGTGTGAAGACCCCTGCGTCTGAAACTAGAGAATGCGCGTCTGCGTTTCAGCGTTGCCGGTCTGAAAGCACCATTACATGTTAAAGTAAACTCTAGCTCAGTAACCGTTGGTGTCACACTCTGGAATCCTGGTGTTTTAATGTAATATTGTAATATATGTAAATCCAGATACAGTATGAGCCACATTAGGATTGACCAATCAGATGGCTTCCTTCGCGGGGGAGACTCCGGCTTACCTTGGCAACGATCTTTTTCACATCTTTATCACCTACTGGTCACATGGCTCCTTTGATGAGCATGTTTATAATTAACCCCATTGTTTTGGTCACCGTGGCGACAGTCATCAGCAGCCTGCCCCGTTGCATTGTGGGTCGGACAGATTGTGCTCTTTGTCACGACAGTGAGCTCAGGTCCTGGCTTTGATCTCTATCAGTCTCTGTGTGGAGTTTGCATGTTCTCCCCATGTCCGGGTGAGTTTCCTCCTCCACCATCCAAAACAAGCACGTGGGTAAATCCTCCAGCGGTCAGGACAATATCATGTACATTGTACCTTTTATGATAAATGTGGACATTGTCATGTTTTAGAATAGGACCAGGGCCCACAGTTTAGGGTCACATTGTAAAACTTTTAAAATGAGGTCGTAACAAGGACCATCTCCAGATACGTACTGATGCTCACATGGTCAGGACCAGAGGAGGAGGACTTTACCTTTTGTAAATGTAAACATGGTAAACTCCACTCTGAAAGGCCCTGTTCCACCAAGAGACATCAAAATCCACAGAATCCTCATTAATGAAATATGTAGGTTCTCTGTCAGGTTCTCTGTCAGCTGAGGTCTGAGTTCTGTGGGACATTTTTCTGGGTATCTGCAGTACCTCGGGTGGTCCCCGTGCCCATGGGTGGGACAGCTATAAGCTAGTAATACTCTATCCACTGATTATATATCCAGGCTTGTGCCCTGTCAGCGCGTCCGTGACCCAATCAGGTCCAGACAGAAACAAAAGTGTCGTCACCATGGTTCCCTCTCACAACATCAGCTCTGAAGTGTGAGGAGGGAGAGGCTTCACACTCCCCACAGAAGACATAGAGACATAGAGACACAGAGGACACAGAGACACAGAGACACAGAGGACACAGAGACACAGAGGACACAGAGGACACAGAGACACAGAGGACACAGAGGACACAGAGACACAGAGACACAGGACACAGTGGACACAGAGACCCAGAGACACAGTGGACACAGAGACAGAGAGACACAGAGGACACAGAGACACAGAGACACAGAGGACACAGAGGACACAGAGACACAGAGACAGAGAGACACAGAGGACACAGAGAAACAGAGAGACACAGAGGACACAGAGACACAAAGGACACAGAGACACAGAGGACACAGAGGACACAGATACACAGAGGACACAGAGACGACACAGTGGACAGAGAGGACACAGAGACACAGAAACACAGAGGACACAGAGACACAGAGGACACAGAGACAGAGAGGACACAGTGGACACAGAGACAGAGAGACACAGAGACACAGAGAACACAGAGGACACAGAGGACACAGAGACACAGAGACAGAGAGGACACAGAGACACAGAGAACACAGAGGACACAGAGACACAGACGACACAGAGCACACAGAGGACACAGAGACACAGAGGACACAGAGACACAGTGGACACAGAGACACAGAGGGCACAGAGACAAAGAGGACACAGAGACACAGAGACAGAGAGACACAGAGGACACAGAGACACAAAGGATACAGAGACACAGAGGACACAGAGGACACAGAGACACAGTGGACACAGAGACACAGTGGACACAGAGACACAGAGGGCACAGAGACACAGAGAGGACACAGAGAGAGACACAAGAGACACAGAGACACAGGACACAGAGACACAGAGAGACACAGAGACAGAGAGACACAGAGGACACAGAGACAGAGAGACACATGATGTCTGCCTGTGCGACTCTATATGTCTGCTTGTTGTGACTCTATAATGTCTGCTTGTTGTGACTCTATGATGTCTGCTTGTTGTGACTCTATGATGTCTGCTTGTTGTGACTCTATGATGTCTGCTTGTTGTGACTCTATGATGTCTGCTTGTTGTGACTCTATGATGTCTGCTTGTTGCGACTCTATGATGTCTGCTTGTTGCGACTCTATGATGTCTGCTTGTTGTGACTCTATGATGTCTGCTTGTTGTGACTCTATGATGTCTGCTTGTTGCGACTCTATGATGTCTGCTTGTTGTGACTCTATGACGTCTGCTTGTTGTGACTCTATGACGTCTGCTTGTTGTGACTATATTCTCAGCTAGTTCCCAGCTTTAATGTTTATTCAGATATGTTCTATTAAGAAGTGATGTCACATAAAGCTAACATTGCAGATGTTTGAACACAGAAGTCTTTGGTGATCACAGCAGACGGAGGCCCCAGACTGATGACCGTGAGAAAGCAGCCTCCTCTGCTGCTGTCACCACGACGACCGAGGCCAGCGCCATTAAAGCTAACCTCCTCCTGCTAACGAGAAGCAGATGAGGGCCCCACACACACACAGATACAGGCACACACACGTACAGGCACACACGTACACACGTACACACACACACACACACAGGTACAGGCACACACACACACAAACATACACACACGCAGCATTCCAGCTGCAGCAATAGCCATAATTATGCCATTTAGTTTTGCCTTTGAAGCTTCTCAATTTCGGTCCTGAAGAAGGAGTCTTATCGAGCCAATGATGGTTGGTGGGACTCCTGAGACCTCGAAAGAGGTTCTAGCAGACCGTCCGGCGCCTCACGAAGGGCATGCAGTGTTTCTAACTATCTAAAGTCTCTGGATGTTGTAGGACTGTCTCTGACACGTCTCTGCAGCATCTTGTGGAGATCGGGGGCAGTGCCAATGGAGTGGCAGACCGGGGTGGTGGTCCCTCTCTACAAGAAGGGGGACCGGAGGGTGTGTTCCAATTATCGTGGGATCACACTCCTCAGCCTCCCTGGTAAGGTCTACTCCAAGGTACTGGAGAGGAGGTTACGGCCGATGGTCGAATCTCGGATTCAGGAGGAGCAGTGTGGTTTTCGTCCCGGTCGCGGAACACTGGACCAGCTCTATACTCTCCATCGGATACTCGAGGATCATGGGAGTTCCCCAACCTGTCCACATGTGCTTTGTGGATTTGGAGAAGGCGTTCGACCGTGTTCCCCAGGGTGTCCTTTGAGGGTTCCCTGTGAGTACGGGGTCCGGGGTCCTCTGCTGAGGGCCGTCTGCAGGTCCCTGTATGGTTCTGGTCCTACAGGGACCTGCATTCGCATTAGCAGTAACTCAGACCTGTTCCCGGTGGCACGGTGGCTGAGTGGATAGCACTCTCGCCTCTCAGCAAGAAGGTCCTGGGTTCGAATCCCGGTCGGACCAGGGCCTTTCTGAGTGGAGTTTGCATGTTCTCCCCGTGTCTGCGTAGGTTTCCTCCGGGTACTCCGGTTTCCCCTACCACTAAAAATATGTCCAATAGTTCTGGCATGCGCCTCCTGTACTGGCCCCGCTCCCATCTCTGTGTGGAGTGAGAGACAAATGCCCAAAAATTAACAATTGTAAACCGCTTTGAGACTCAGATCTGCAGTGAAAAGGCGGTATATAAATAAATACTTACTTACTTACTTACTTACCCGGTGTTGGCCGCTGCCAAGGCTGCCCTTTGTCACCGGTTCTGTTCACTGTCTTTATGGACAGAAATTCTAGCCGCAGCCATGGGCCGCAGGAGGGTTCCGGAGGGTCCTCTCCAGGTCCTGATCCTCTCCAGGTCCTGGTCCTCTCCAGGTCCTGGTCCTCTCCAGGTCCTGGTCCTTCTCTCCAGGTCCTGGTCCTCTCCAGGTCCTGGTCCTCTCCAGGTCCTGGTCCTTCTCTCCAGGTCCTGGTCCTCTCCAGGTCCTGGTCCTCTCCATGTCCTGGTCCTCTCCATGTCCTGGTCCTCTCCAGGTCCTGGTCCTCTCCAGGTCCTGATCCTTCTCTCCAGGTCCTGGTCCTCTCCAGGTCCTGGTCCTCTCCAGGTCCTGATCCTCTCCATGTCCTGGTCCTCTCCAGGTCCTGGTCCTCTCCAGGTCCTGGTCCTCTCCATGTCCTGGTCCTCTCCATGTCCTGGTCCTCTCCAGGTCCTGGTCCTCTCCAGGTCCTGGTCCTCTCCATGTCCTGGTCCTCTCCATGTCCTGTCCTCTCCAGGTGGAGAGGTTTTTCCTCAAGTGGAGCAGTTCTTCTCTGGCAGTTCTGGTCTTGGTCTCAGTGAGGGAAGGATGGAGCGTGAGATTGAAGGTGGATCAGTGCAGCGTCTGCAGTGATGTGGTCCATTGTTTTTCTGAGAACTATCTTTTATTTGGGCAGCATGGTGGCTGAGTGGTTAGCACTCTCGCCTTACTCTGAGCTATATAACTTACTTACTTACTTGTTTTTGTATCTATGGGAGAAGGATTTTTTCCTCTATTCCATCGATCCTATTCACACTAATCACATGTGGTTGACCAGATTCTCCAATGGGACAAAGACATTTAGTCTATATTTTCTCATTCCAAGGGACACGTGTGTCTTTTTAAAATTCTCCTGTGCGAGATTAATATTCTTAAAAAATTATCTTTTTTTTTCCCATTGACCAATCTTCTTTTAAGGCAGTCAGACTTTTTGCAGTGTAGGACATTTATTCATTTATTTTTTCTACTGATCTATTTATTTGACAGGGACCATGTAGTCCTACATAGTTACAGCCGACTGATGCGACACATACAGAGTGTATGCTGACCCTGGTTGAGCTTTTCCCTACAGCGCAACACTTGATACAGAATTAATCCAATAGTCCAATATACACAGCCCTAAAACATAACTATATTTCAGGAAGAAAACAGAAAACAGCCCATGTATAAGGACCAGACAGAGGCCTCACCGTGTCTGAAGCTGAGGCTGGTGCTGAGGCCCCGCCCCCCTGGTTCTCGCCGCTGGCTCAGGCTGTGGATGAAGGAGCCCAAAGACGGGAAGGCCTGCTTAGAGCCACGCCCCAGACCCTGAAGACAAACACTGCATTAGACCATGTGGAGAAACCATGTGGAGAGACTATGTGGAGAGACCATGGAGGGACCCAAACAATAATGATTACATGACAATAAAAGAAGAATCCACCACAGGAACCAGACAATGGGCCTGCCACAAGGGGAAGAGCACAGGTACGTAAACACACGGAGAGACACAGGTACAGATGAGGACAACAGGGAACAGGACCAGGAGAGAACCATGAGAACTCATCAGCAGCAGCTCTGTCAAACCAACCCCAAGTTTCACCGCAGATTTTGTAATCTAATATATCTAATAATAAGATGTACTGAATTATGTGGAGATCTTTGTGACACGAGAAATATCTTGATTATTGATCCCTCAGCGGGGCAGTGTCAGTGTTACAGAACAGAGAACACAAACAATAACACAAAATCATACTAAAATAAAATACAATCTCTAACTTTAGCATAATAAAGTATAAATCCTGTATATTCTCGTGCAGACATATATGTAGTTGTATGCTAGCATGTTAGCCTGTTAGCAGCATGAGGCTCTGGGACCCAGAGACAGTGGCACATTTAGTTATCATTTCATGTATAGTGGTTTTTGAAGGTATTTTTTCACATCTTAAAACTCAGGCTTTGGCTCTGGCTCTGACTCGGGCTCTCCTCTGGCTCAGGCTCTGACTCTGGCTCTCCTCTGGCTCTCCTCTGACTCTGGCTCTTCTCTGGCTCTGTCTCTGGCTCTTCTCTGGCTCTGACTCTGGCTCTTCTCTGGCTCTGACTCTGGCTCTGTCTCTGACTCTGGCTCTTTTCTGGCTCTGACTATGGCTCTTCTCTGGCTCTGCTCTGGCTCTCCTCTGGCTCTTCTCTGGCTCTGCTCTGGCTGTGGCTCTGGTTCTGCTCTGGCTCTTTTCTGGCTATTCTCTGGCTCTGCTCTGACTCTGGCTCTTTTCTGGCTCTTCTCTGGCTCTTTTCTGGCTCTGCTCTTTTCTGGCTCTTCTCTGGCTCTGCTCTGGCTCTTTTCTGGCTCTGGCTGTGGCTCTGGTTCTGCTCTGGCTCTTTTCTGACTCTTCTCTGGCTCTGCTCTGGCTCTGGATCTTTTCTGGCTCTGCTCTTCTCTGGCTCTTCTCTGGCTCTTTTCTGGCTCTGCTCTTTTCTGGCTCTTCTCTGGCTCTGCTCTGGCTCTTTTCTGGCTCTGGCTGTGGCTCTGGTTCTGCTCTGGCTCTTTTCTGACTCTTCTCTGGCTCTGCTCTGGCTCTGGATCTTTTCTGGCTCTGCTCTTCTCTGGCTCTTCTCTGGCTCTGAGAGAGTTGGTGCTTGCGGCTCTTTGTGCCGTTGCATAAGAACCTTGGGTCTGGCGCTGAGCTGCACATGTGGACTTCCAGGAAAAAGCAGTGAAAAAAGCAGTGTTTTATGGACGCACACAGACCCACACACACACACACAGACCCACACACACACACACAGACGCACACAGACCCATAAAACAAAAGCTGAGCCTGTTCCTCAGAGCGTGGCTGCACAGACACGTGTGCCATGTTTTCCTACCACTGTCAGACTGTACAACAAGTCTGTCTGAACATTTGCACTTTTAGATATATGTTTTTATGATAGACTGTATTTGAAAAATACGCAAACAAGCTTTAATGCTCTCTTCAAACAATGTAGAGATTTTTGTCCATTCTTCGAGTTTTGTTTTAGCGCTAATATACTGTCACTACACCTGGTTTACTGTCACTACACCTGGTTTACTGTCACTACACCTGGTTTACTGTCACTACACCTGGTTTACTGTCACTACACCTGGTTTACTGTCACTACACCTGGTTTACTGTCGCTACAACTGGTTTACTGTCGCTACAACTGGTTTACTGTCGCTACAACTGGTTTACAGTGACTACACCTGGTTTACAGTCACTACACCTGGTTTACTGTTGCTACACCTGGTTTACTGTTGCTACACCTGGTTTACAGTCACTACACCTGGTTTACTGTCACTACACCTGGTTTACTGTCGCTACAACTGGTTTACAGTGACTACACCTGGTTTACAGTCACTACACCTGGTTTACTGTTGCTACACCTGGTTTATGGTCACTACACCTGGTCACTACAACTGATCCCTGCTTTTGTCACCTCAAGGCTTGACTACTGTAGCGCCCCCTGCTGGCAGCTTCCAGCTCGTTCAGAATACAGCAGCTAGGATCTTAACAGGTACCAAAAGGAGGGAGCACATAACTCCGGTGTTAAAATCACTCCACTGGCTCCCTGTGGAGTACAGAATAAAGTTTAAAATCCTTCTCTTAACATATAAAGCCATAAATGGCTTGGCTCCCTCTTATCTTCTGACACGTTAGTGTCATATCAACCAAGCCGAGCAGTGCGCTCACAAAACGCCAGACGTCCGGTGGTCCGTAAGGTTTCAAAAAGCACTGTCGGTGGCAGAGCATTTAGCGCCAAGCTCCTTTACTGTGGAATCAGCTTCATCCATGCTAAGGAAGCAGATACGGTCTCCACATTCAAGGCCAGGATTAAAACACTCTTCTTCAATTTAGCATATCTGTGCTTGTCAGGGACCCGATCCACTGAATCTCCAACCTTGTTACAATAGATTGTGGATTACACACAGTCACGGGGGAATGAGAACTCAGGCTGGAGGCATATGTTCATAAGTACAGTGTCCTCCATTGTCAGTCCTGTTTAATCCTGGTTTAGTACTGGTTTAGCTCCTGTTTTGGCTGTTTTCGAGTGTCATTTGTCCCTGTGACGGCTCCTGCTTCCCGAGGAAAAAGTGAATCTCTTGCTTTTGCCGCATGCATCGAGTCCTGTACCCACTGCCTCTACAGCGACGGGCATAACTTTTGACACGACATTGAAACACGATCTATAGATCCATGGACGCTACACATGGTGTTTTGCGGTTAATGCTCGGCTGTGATAGGTTGAGGAGCCTTTGCCTACATCCCCCATAATGCCGCGCGATTCTGACTCGGCTTTCTTCCTGTTTTTTCTAACACAGTGTAGTTAAAATCGAACATTCTATCAACCCCATTTTCTATTGATATTGAACAAGGGTCTATCGCAATATATGTTGTTATTGTTTTATCGCCCAGCCCTAGTAGGAAGTCAGTTTGCTGGGAGAAGTATGGTAACTTGAGCTCTATCCTCTCCTCCTTCCTACTTTATCTGTTTGCATTATTAGGATTGCTTCATTGCTATTCACCCGTTGTCCCATTGTCTGTTTCATGGCGCGACAACGGGACCTCTGAACCTGGCCTCCTCCATCCACACCTGCGGACTGACCCGCCTGGGAGTGCTTCAGTCCTGCACCGGACCTGTCCACGTTTTGCCGCTGCTGCGTGGCCCTGGTCCTCGTTCTGTAGCTTTGGTCCTGGATCTACAGCCTCAGTCCTCGTTCTACAGTCTGAGTCCTGGATCTACAGCCCGTCTGTCCGTGGGAGTGGATCCCTCTTTCAATGTTTGTCTCCTTGAGGTTTCTCACTTTTTTCCCACTGGGTTTTAGAGTTTTTTCTCTGACGCACGGGGTCTGTTGGACCGTTAGTGTCGAACAAGAAGGACTGTGAGGATCCAGGATTCTACTACATTCATGGACGAGGGAGAGACTAGACTAGAGAGAGACCAGAGAGAGACCAGAGAGAGACCAGAGAGAGACCAGAGAGAGACCAGAGAGAGACCAGAGAGAGACCAGAGAGAGACCAAAGAGAGACCAGAGAGACCAGAGAGAGAGACCAGAGAGAGACCAGAGAGAGACCAGAGAGAGACCAAAGAGAGACCAGAGAGAGAGACCAGAGAGAGAGACCAGAGAAAGACGCGGGAGAGACCAGATAGAGAGAGACCAGAGAGAGACCAGAGAGAGACCAGAGAGAGACCAGAGAGAGAGACCAGATAGAGAGAGACCAGAGATAGACGAGGGAGAGAGACCACAGAGAGACTAGAAAGAAAACAGAGAGAGAGACCAGCAAGAGACGAGAGAGACCAGAGAGAGACACCAGAGAGAGACACCAGAGAGAGACACCAGAGAGAGAACAGAAAAAGAACATTGACCTTGGAGTTGGAGCGTCATAACTAACTGTAACATGTATTATTGATGTCACACACACATGGTTCTTCAGTGTAAACAGCGGACGCCTGATACTTACAGCCGGGGGCGCGCTGCTGTAGATGGGAGGCAGTCTGTCCCGCTCCCGGTCCACGTCTCCATCCATCAGGGAAACAAAAAGTCTCACGGACCGCGTTCACGACGTCTGTTCCCGTCCTGGGGTCGCCCCGCTCCCGCTGCACATGTCTGCTCCAGCGCCGCGCTCCAGTCCCAAACTTACAATAAACTTACAATAAACTTATAATAAACTTATAATAAACATAGAGAACTTTCCACTGCGTAATTATCCCATGGAGATATGCAGAGACATCCGCTCCAGCCCCGAGCCTTTCACTCGGCTCTGCTCAGACTAGACTCTGCTGTGGGGGAGTTCGTTGGAGGTTCCGTGGGTTCCGTGGGTCGGGTTTTAGTTCCGCTCGGTCTGGTGTCTGGAGCTTCGTCTGGCGGAGAGGCGCCTGCAGCTGCCCGTCGCCATGTTCCAGAGAAGTGTAGAGTGAAGAGTGAAGAGAGAGAGAAGAGGAGGAGACTGAGAAGGAGAGAGGAGGGGACTGAGGGGAGAGAGAGGGGAGAGGAGGAGAGAGAGGGGACTGAGGGGAGAGAGAGGGGAGAGGAGGAGAGAGAGGGGACTGAGGGGGGGAGAGAGGGAGAGGAGGAGAGAGAGGAGGAGAGAGAGAGGGGACTGAGGGGAGAGGGGAGGAGGAGGAGAGAGAGGGGACTGAGGGGAGAGAGGGGGGAGAGGAGGAGAGAGAGGGGACTGAGGGGAGAGAGGGGAGAGGAGGAGAGAGAGGAGGAGAGAGAGAGGGGACTGAGGGGAGAGAGAGGGGAGAGGAGGAGAGAGAGGGGACTGAGGGGAGAGAGAGGGGAGAGGAGGAGAGAGAGGGCAGAGGGGACAGAGGGGAGAGGAGGAGAGAGAGGGCAGAGGGGACAGAGGGCAGAGGAGGAGAGAGAGGGCAGAGGAGGAGACTGAGGAGGAGAGAGAGTGAAGAGGAGGCGAGAGAGGGCAGAGGAGGAGAGAGAGGGCAGAGGGGACAGAGGGGAGAGAGAGGGCAGAGGAGGAGAGAGAGGGCAGAGGGGAGAGAGAGGGCAGAGGAGGAGAGAGAGGGCAGAGGAGGAGACTGAGGAGGAGAGAGAGTGAAGAGGAGGAGAGAGAGGGCAGAGGGGACAGAGGGCAGAGGAGGAGACTGAGGAGGAGAGAGAGTGAAGAGGAGGAGAGAGAGTGAAGAGGAGGCGAGAGAGGGCAGAGGAGGAGAGAGAGGGCAGAGGGGACAGAGGGGAGAGAGAGGGCAGAGGAGGAGAGAGAGGGCAGAGGGGAGAGAGAGGGCAGAGGAGGAGAGAGAGGGCAGAGGCGGAGACTGAGGAGGAGAGCGAGGGCAGAGGAGGCGACTGAGGAAGAGAGAAGGAGAGAGAGGGCAGAGGAGGAGACTGAGGGGAGAGAGAGGAGAGTAAGTAAGTAAGTAAGTAATCTTTATTTATATACCGCCTTTCACAGATCAGAGTCACAAAGCGGTTTACAATTGTTATTTTATTTTTTTTTTTGGGCACTTGTCCTCTCACTCCACACAGAGATGGGAGTGGGGTCGCCGAACAGGAGGCGCATGCCAGACCTATTGTACATATTTTTAGTGGTAGGGGAAACCGGAGTACCCGGAGGAAACCTACGCAGACACGGGGAGAACATGCAAACTCCTCTCAGAAAGGCCCTGGTCCAGCCGGGATTTGAACCCAGGACCTTCTTGCTGAGAGGCGAGAGTGCTATCCACTCAGCCACCGTGCCGCCCAGAGAGAGGGGAGAGGAGGAGACTGAGGGGAGAGAGAGGAGGAGAGAGAGGGGAGAGGAGGAGACTGAGGGGATAGAGAGGGGAGAGTAGGAGAGAGAGGGCGGAGGAGACTGAGGAGGAGAGAGAGGGGAGAGGAGGAGAGAGAGGGAATAGGAGGAGACTGAGGGGAGAGAGAGGGGAGAGGAGGAGAGAGACTGAGGGGAGAGGAGAGAGAGCGGGCAGAGGAGGAGACTGAGGGGAGAGAGGGAGGAGGAGAAAGAGGGGAGAGGAGGAGACTGAGGAAGAGAGAGGGGGGATAAGATTAAGAGGGAGAGATACAGATAGGAGGGGAGAGAAGGGGGAGAGAGAGGGGGAGGAGGAGAAAGGAGGATGAGACTGAGGGAGAGAGAGAGACACAAGGGGAGACTGGGGAGGAGAGTGGAGACTCAGGGGGGAGGGACAGGAGAGGAGAGAGGGGCGAGACTGAAGAGGGGAGGGAGGGGAGAGAGACAGGAGGGGAGAGAGGAGGAGGGGGAGAAAGGGACAGGAGAGGAGAGGGGGAGCCTGAGGAGGAGGAAAGAGAAATCGGGTGAGCGGGGGAGGAGGAGACTGAAGAGAGAGAGTGTGGAGGGGAGAGGAGGGGATTGAGGATGAGAGAGAGGGGGAGAGAGGAGGTTACTGAGGAGAGGAGACCAGGGGAGAGAGAGAGAGCAAGAGGAGGCGAGAGATGGGGGAGAGGGGGAGAGAAGAGGAAAGGACTTGTGGGGAGAGGAGAGGAGGCGAGAGGAGGAGACTGAGGTGGAGAGAGAGACAGGAGGGGAGAAAGGGGAGACTGGGGAGGAGAATGGAGACTGCAGGGGGGGGGGGGGGGGGCAGGAGAGGAGAGAGGGGCGAGACTGAAGAGGGGAGGGAGGGGAGAGAGGAGGGAGAGACAGGAGGGGAGAGAGGGACAGGAGAGGAGAGGGGGGAGCCTGAGGAGGAGAGAGAGGGGGAGAGGAGGAAGAAATAGAAATCGGGTGAGCGGGGGAGGGAGGAGACTGAAGAGAGAGAGTGTGGAGGGGAGAGGAGGGGATTGAGGATGAGAGAGAGGGGGAGAGAGGAGGTTACTGAGGAGAGGAGACCAGGGGAGAGAGAGAGCAAGAGGAGGCGAGAGAGGGGGGAGAGGGGGAGAGAAGAGGAAAGGACTTGTGGGGAGAGAAGCGGAGACTGAGGTGGAGAGAGAGCTGTAGAGGAGGAGAGAAAGGGGGGAAGAGGAGGAGAGGGGGGAGAGGGAGACTGAGGAGGAGGAGAGACAGAGAGAGAGGAGGGGAATGGGGGAGCACAGACTGTAAGTGCCCGAGCTTTAATGACTCCAGAGGCCATTTTCCTAAAGCAAACACAGACCACTGCAGCCTCCGGTCTCACTCTGGTCTCAACACTGGAGCAGTGTGTGTGTGTGTGTGTGTGTGTGTGTGGGTGTGTGGGTGTGTGTGTGTGTGTGTGTGTGTGTGCGTGTGTGGGTGTGTGTGTGTGTGTGTGTCTGGAGCTCAAGTGCAGCTGTTATCAAGTGAAGAGCCACGCATACACAAACACATATACACACACACACACACACACTATGCTATGTGTGTTTGAACAGTTTGATTCTCTGATCTGTGTTGGTGAATCGACAGCTGTGTTAAGTCCTCTGTTATAACTACTGTTGTGATTTAGGGCGATACACAAATACATTGAATTTAACTGAAGTGACACACAGTTTGTCAATCTTATTGGCTGAAGTCTCTCTCCTTATCTTCCTCCATCAGCCAATCACGGCTCAGCTCCTCCTCCTCTGCTCAGAGACATTCGATTTGTCCTGAGTCTGTTTCCAGAGCGTTCTCTCTGGTGTTTGTTCCGACCCGGCTGAGCTCAGGTGTAAGAAACCAAAGAAGATGTTTAAATGGTAACTGAAATCAAAGTTTATTTTGGTGACAGAATGAGTAAAATGGGTAACAAAATAGGATAAAACATTTACAAAATAGGATAAAACATTTACAAAATACTTGTAAAGTAAATAAAGTAAATAAATATCCCATAAAACTATAGTAAACAAATGACAGACCCAAAAGTGTGAGCTAAACTAAAGTTTCTCCACCAAAACTACACACATCCCTGAACTAAAGGCACAAGTGACAGAACACATACACACAACTGCAGTCCACTGACCCCGGGTCACTGACGATGGCCGCTTCTATGGGCGGGTCCAGGTGAACGGGCGCTGATTGGGGGACCGCCTCAGCTGCTGCCCAATCAGCACCCAGGTAACACAGTCAGGTGGGGAACGACTGGCCAATCAGAGCCCAGGATTCACGAGCAGGTCTTCTGTAAAGGGAGGAAAACACAAACACACAGAGACGTGTGGTGTGTTAAGACTGCGTCGCTCAGAAGGACTTCTGGTCTGCTCCGATCTCAAATTGGGGATATCCAACATGTTGGATTGTTGTGTCCCCATTTCTCTTGGTGTGTGGTGTCAGGGACAGACGAGCGCGTTGCCAGGTGACTGCGGTGTAGCCAATCTGAAGACGAGGTGACGAGGAAACACCTGGGGAAAAAAATCACCAGAAAGTCTGGTAGACGTTAGAGATGGCGGACCACCTCGTCGACCTATGGCGACACCGTGAATGTTTGAACAACGTTTTGTGTAAGGTACTGTATATCAAAACCGAAATGACAAGGAGAGGAATTGGGCAGAAATTGCTGCTTCACTGTGTTTCCACTACCCATCGCTAGCATGACAATAATTCACTTTGGAGAGACCCATGAGGAAGATGCCGTTAGACTTATTAGATTTAAGCATGTTTATGATTGAGCATGTTTGGCGCCCTAGGCCCGGGAGGGATGCTGTTGAGCACGGCGCTTGCTCGCGTGCATAATCCCCCCGGGGCCTAGGTACTGGTGACGGCAGAGGCAGTAGGCAAGCGCGCTTCGATGAGAGAAGGAGGAGGTGGGGCGGCGGAGGCTTGCAGACTTCAGAAGGCCGGAAAGTGGGCATCTCCGGCTTTTAACTTGCTGTCCTGGTGGTTATTGGTTGACTGGATGTGGGCGTTGCTGGTATTGATGAGTCGAGGAAGAGCAGCCTGTGGCCTGGGCAGCAGCAGCCGGGTCTACCACAGTGAACTTTCGCGAAGCTCCATTTCACTTTGGAGAGACCCATGAGGAAGATGCCGTTAGACTTATTAGATTTAAGCATGTTTATGATTGAGCATGTTTGGCGCCCTAGGCCCGGGAGGGATGCTGTTGAGCACGGCGCTTGCTCGCGTGCATAATCCCCAAAAAGCGGGCCTGCAATTGGGGTAGCAGGATGTACTGCGCGGGCCTGAGAGCATGAGTG